CATTAAATATTCAAAATGTCAAGACTTCATTTTTTCTTTTATTAGAATAAAAGTAATTAATTATTTTAATTAATTTTAATGAATTAATAATTAACCATTCAATTAAATCAATTATTTTGATTAATTAGTCTTAATCTTATTTAATCACTGTCAAAGGTTTGAAAGCCAACTAGTTTTCACCTCATATTTCAATTTTGCCTAAAACTTTCTGTGATCAAGCAATTTCGTCCTAAAACTTTAAGTTATTTCAAATTTATCCTCCATGTTCTTGAATTTCCTTTAATTAATCTCTCAATTTTTAATTTGTTGTGATTTTGGAGGGTTGGCTTGTTTCCTATTTCGTTCAATTGAGTCCAAAGGTTTTCAAAAATTATAATTTTATCCTTTTCCTTTTGAACGTTACTTAATTAAGACTTAAAAGAATAAAAAAGTTGAATTAAAACTCCCAATTTTAAGATATTTAACCACATTTTACAGAGAGGATTGTGAAATACAAATATACCCTACTTTACTTTTAATTGAACTTTCGAATCTTAATTTTTACATATATCCGTTTTAAATAATTTATCTCATCTTATATTTTGAATAAATAATGATTTTAATTTTTTCAAATGAGTAAATGAACACTTTTTTAAAACCTTTTTTTTTGTATAATTTTTATGTTATTAAATGAGCGAATTAACTCAATATTATGAGTTTTAAATAAATAAAAATAATTAATCATTTAAATAAAATGTAAAATTATATTTAAATCATTTTTAAAAAAAAAATATTTGTGCCCCACGATAGGGAAACCCCTAATCAATCCAGACAATCATGAATCTAAAAACAAGTCACAGCTCACAAGGCCAACGCAACCGATGCAGCAGTTTAAGCAAAACTAATTTCAGCAATTGAAACTTGAAATAATTCAATTCAGTAACGGCACAAACAATATCTCCCTTGTCCCAGCTTTAAGACAAACCAACCCCTTCTTGGTCCATCCAAAAATTCAGTAACGTGGTCTTGGTGCATGCCAGTTAGTCCTCACCAGCACGATGAAGCAATAAAAGGATCGGATGACTTCAAAACAATAGTGATTTTATTTTCAACAGCAGCATTCAAGCCTCTTAATTCAACAACACAAAACAGTATCAACAATTTGTTAATGTTCAATCCACTATGTAATGGCAACTACACAAAATGATAGGATGTGTGTCTCCCAATTAAGTCCTAATGCAAGCCTGAAGATGCTTAAATCTCCGGATTTGAACCTCTATCTTGGCTTGGTCACAGCAACCATCCCATTCTGATACAAGAAGGAAAAAAAAATGATGCTACGTGATAATTTAATTTGTCCAAAGTACCTCTGATTTAAGCAGGGAAGCATTAGATACGTGCAAAAAATAATGGAGCATAAAAGTTTAATTATGTACATCTGAATCCATATGAAGGATTGAAGAAACATTGTAATTATGTGGCATATATCAAGATGGAATCACTGGAAAAGAAAAACATGCAAATTATGAACAGAAAATGATCAAGAACAGCAAGTACCGTGTGAAAGTTCGATTAAGGACGCTTCCTTGCAGACTTGCAGTTGCCTTCCACTTTCCTTCTCTGACATTTACAAGGAGATTGAACATTTTCCCTGCTGTACGTTTGTTTTGTGTACATTGAGTAACAGGGGTCCAAACTCCACGGATTCTCACGAATCTCATCATTCGTAATCCATAATAACATTTGACCTACAAGACGGAACTATATACCTCGTTTTCAAAAAACAAAAATCATAATTGATCCCTAGAGAGCTCATTTCTAGAGCTACTAGATATATGTTGATAATCACCTTCTAAAGCAATTCAACACCTTGGCCATTGAAGAGATGCTGCTAATGAGGCTCTTTGTGGGAGGGGGGGGACAGGCCATAAATGTCAATCTCTCAACACCATAATCAATGACTTTGTTCATGGCATTCCTCTACTCTTTCAGACCAACTAGCTAATTTGAAGTCATACACACACTCGTTTGGCTTTGAGGTAGAGCTGGTCTGGTACAGTATCGCAGACAGAATGTGTCCAAAAGTAATTCTAGCAGAGCAATGTTAAAAAAATATTCAAAGGTTTCCAAATGACCCACCTACAACCTGTATATCATCAAATTCACATATGCCTGAAATGAGAAAACATAAAGATTTGTAGTCTAATTTCGTTGATTGTTGCGACATAAACATGGGTAAATACTTACAAATACAACCTTTGAGATTGATTAATAGTTCCGCAAGTTGTGGTACATAGTGGCCTGCTCGATATAAGAAAGTTTCAGAGAGCATAATCATGAATTATCCACAATACAACTAGGTCCTTTTTTTCAGCTCCTCTGTTGATGGACAGCTAGGTCCTTTAACAACTAAAAGATAGTGATACAATTATGTCATACTTAAGAGTATTAGAAACATGAATAAGCCAATTATACCAACTCATATATCCATTCACATAACCTCCATTAAGTCAGACGCCGAGGTACTGCTTGGATGGCCAAGACTCAGCTTCAGAGAAGCAGTATAAATATAAAAGAAAGTTTTGCGCCCTGTTGGCTACTGCAACATGTAAATGTCTTGTCATCAAACACAGATGGCTTCAGGTTCAATAGGATCCCTGATAAGGGAAAAACATAGTTCCTGATGTTTGGATAAACAAATAAAAACCACAAAATCAGTTGAAGACAATATCAAATCCTTCAAAATAGATTCTAAAACCACTTAATATTGGATGAGAAAAGTAGAATTGACTAATTACCAATGTAAGGACAGATGGCAAGGAAGGAAGCACAATCAATTTCAAGCCACGTAATTTTTTGGACTTGAAAAATAATAGTAGTTGATTTCCAAACATGATTGTCTTGGCTGGAGAAAATTAGAAGGCAAGAGAAAGACAGCAAAGGAGGGCTGTCACAGAGGAAGCCTCAAGCCCTCAGGTGGTCAAGTTAGCCACGGGAGTGTTTAACTAAATTGATAGATGAAATAGGAGAGAAATTCATAAATACCTGTGGTCTGCTATGGCATATGTAGGTATTGGAAAAATAATGTGATTAAAGAAATTAAGATGTTGAGTGTGATAGTTAACAGTCACATACATTAAACAAAAAGTTTGTCAAATCTGTTTTAGAGCTCATTACAACAAAGTAAAACAAATTATTTAAAGAAACAATAAAAAGCTTTAATTAAATGAAGTTCATCGACAACACTAAACAGCAAATTACAACAGAGATGGCATTGCATTCATGTGAGTGTGATTTGTGAATCCCAGTTTTTGTCTTGCATTGGTATAAATGTTGCTGAGTTGAAGAAATAGGTATGAGATGGTAGATATGCAGCCTGCATCAACATGCATGGAGAAATCACTTAATTCTAAGGATGCAAATAATAGTCAGCAAAAGGAAAGAAAAAAAGAAAAAATGTTCCTGAAAACATAAAAATATATACCTGATTGATATTGAATGGATGACTCAAGGAAAGCTTGCTCGCTACGAATGAATAATTTAAAAAGGAATTAGCATCCAATTAAGGGAGATCGACATCTCATTAGAAGCAAATCAACAGACATATATACCTGAGCTGAGCGGGGCTGGGCATTATAAACTGTCTTTAAATAATTGATCCAGGTCGACACAGCCATATTTAATGTTTACCCAAGGGTGATCATCGTTGCTGAGTGAGTAATCAAAAATGGTATTAGCGAGATAGACATCTTAAGAGCAAATCAATCAAGATTAGATTATTAAGCAAATCAACGGAGATTAACACTTGGATTCATTCAGAAACAAGAAATAGAAACATTTATTTATGAAATACCAGTGAGAGAAGGAATGGAATGCAAGTGATGGAAAAAAGGGAGAGTAATGAGACTTACCCAATATATTTGATGAAAGGTAGGAGGACACACTTATCGTCAGGATTCTCCCACTCCAACGATACCCACCATTCTTTTGGATTTTCAATAGAGATTTCTTTCATAGCAACAAGAGATGGTTGCCCGTTTTCCCTTCCAAGACAGAGGGGAATCCTCTTGACCTTAGGGCAGTCGCTTATATAAATGGAATTGAGAGAATCACAAGCCATTACTCGTCCTTCGGGGCAGATTCTCTTCAATTTTGGGACGGATTTCAACCCCAATATCCTTAATTTTGGAAGAGGGATCAATATTGGAGTAGTTGTTTGATTTCCTACCTCTTCTTCTTCCCATCCTATTATTTCCTCCATCCCTTCGCCATCATGGACTATAATCTGCTCCAAGTTTTGGAGGCCTTGACCTTGCAGCAGCTCACATGGAAACAGCTTCTTCAAGTTTGAACAATACCTTACCGTCAGGTGTTTAAGATTGGAAAAGATGTGAGGGGATATTGTCGGTGCAAGCGACGCTGTTGTTTTTTCTACTTTCACAATGTCCCGCAAGCTAGGCAAAAACATAAGACATAGCTTTTCAAGGTTATTCATAGTTGTCAAGGAAGAAGATGAAGATGACGACGAGGAGACCACACACTCTATCCCTAGGCAGCTGTTCAATTTATATGTTTGCAATTGAGTCAAATTTCTCAGAGAAATAGAAATATCAGCGACCGTATTGCAGCTTGCCATCCACAAATTCCGAAGGTCATCTGGAAGCACCAACTTATCTTCATATCCTATCTTGCAGTAGGATAAAGCTACCTTTCTGAAAATATCATCGCTGTGGAATTTCCCAAAATACCTCCCCACCTCTCTGTCGAGGTCAGACTCCACTCCCACACGTAACCAGTAATTCTTGGGTCTCCTAAAATGGTTCAACTTGCTAACAAAACTGCTGAGGTCCTTCAGCTGATCAAATGTACCTTCAAAACATTCCAGCATGTTCAATCTTGCTACTTCTTCTCCTCTTATAT